ATGGTGTGGCGCTGAACGCGTTACTCCCCGGAAAGGACAACAGCGCGTTCGTTCCCCACCGCAGACACCTGCGGTCCGGAGTTCTGCCAATATCTCAGCTCCATTGAAGTTCGAGTCATTTCCATGCGCAGCGATCCTTTTCCATTCCATATTATGAGAAACGATGGTTTGAAAACCTATTGAATAGCATCCACTTTCCGAAAATGAAACCTATAACCTATGAAAAACAATATGATTAACAGGAATTAATAGGAATTCCTGAGAATGTAGAGATCTGGAAAGTATGTGTGTTCTGAGTTGTTTTGAGTAGGTCGTCCTGCAGTCTGAAGGCAGGTTCGTTACTATTTCTCATTTGAGCAGCACAAGTAGAGAATGAGGACATTCAAATATGTGAAGTAGAGGTACTTACAGTTACTGGACCTTCCATATCATGATGTTAACACGTCTATAAGTAGCTCTATCCATACTAATTCGGCCTATGTGCGACTTCATGGATGAGGAGAGGCATTTCATTACCAATAATCACCGCACTGGTCCTCGCCTAGCTGAAAAATTTGGGGAGATCGTGCAGAGAAGGAAAAAATCTTATTATCATACCTACTTGGTTGCTTGGACGCCCAGTCTCCAGTGGTTGTGCGGGCCACTGCATAATTTCCATTCTTTCGAAGTTTTTCTGGTTCAGCCGTTGCGATTCTCTGGAGACTCGAGGTCAACCTGGGCACCTGGGCAAATCTTTCCTCAGGCCGTTATCTCACTAGGCAGTCGCCGTCACTGTGAATCAAGAAGAGATTTGCCACCATGAGACCACTTTGATATCAGGAATGTGGTATTTCTTGGCAATGGTTTACTCTTCACTGGGTTTTCGGATAGAAATCCCGGATTACTTGTGAGCTTGGAAGGCTTTAGCGGGTGCATGAACACCCTGTTGTACATTGCAGTCCGTCACCCAAAACACCTCCTAGTCACGATGAGGCGACAAATATTTAGGAGCTAATCTGATAGAGAAGACATTAATTTTTACACTATTTATTCACATAAACTCTATTTGTGTAATTATATGAAGCCTCCACATTGTTACTCACGAAATTCCTTTACTGTGCATTCTGCTAGGTATATATACCTAGACCTCAATGAGTAATTGTTGTGCTAATACCCTGTACGCAAGTGTTTTACTACCCAAGCTTAAGGTTAGGAGTAACGACGACTCAAAAGTACTTGCATGGTAGAACACACGCGACAACGAAACTTCATTGTATCATTGCTCTGGAACATACCCCTCTCATGAGTTCTTGATTAAGCTCTTTATCTAGAACCATCAAGAACTCATCGAGTAGGAAGTATAGAGAATATTCCCTACCCAATAGAAACTATGTAAGTAGTGTTCTTGATCAGTCGATACACAGTTATCAGTAGTACAATACTTACACTACAATTATTGACGTTTCGGTAGATTTTGACTTCTTCAGAAGGCTATGTTCACGTGCTGAGACTCTATGTTTTCGTAGTAACTCCCATGTCCGACTTTCTATTAACCTCGGCATTGATTGAACAATTCTTTCTACTTCTGTTCAGTAAACACTAGATGTTATGTTATCTCTTTATTTACGTACAATCTGACGTTTCGGCGGATTTCTCCTTCCTCAGAGTCTGGAAAGGCCAAGTTGACAGCAATCTATTAGGCGAAACACCTCCATAACCAAACAGAAAAAGCGCTAAACCAAGATTTCAATTACGTTTAACACAGCTCTGCACAAGGTCCCGTTTATCCTACCCTTCATCTCAAATGATGTAAGTGCAGCTATAAAACGCTGCTTAAGAATGGCGGGTCTAGAGAATTCGGTAAACGTAGTTGAAATGCCACCAAGTAATCTTAGGCACCAGCTTGTTTGTAACCACCTATATGACCGTTTATGTGCAACGCAAAATTGCATAACTTGCCCCAATGGTAAAGACGGTGATTGCATGAGCTCGAGTATAGTTTATCTGATCTCCTATAAGGCGTGCAGAGACAAATACATTGGCGAAACGGGCAGACCCCTCTGTGTCCGAATAAAAGAACACTTAGCCGGCAAACATAAACCAAATACCCCGCTTGACACGCATAGGACCCAGAGACATAACGGGGAGGACTTTGAAGTTTGTGTCACGATCCTCACACAAAAATCGAGAACACAAGCGCGCAAAACTCTCGAGGCATTCTGGATTAATTCCAGAAATCCGAAAATGAACCGCAGGAAAGTACGCCTCATTATCACGCGTGATATAGGGCAGTATATAAACCTGTTATTCTGATGAGAGGGGTACATTAGCCATCCATGTGAATTCTATGCGGTTGGTCTTCACGCGACAAACTCAGTGGAAGACTCATAGAAAGCGGCGAGTGTGCAGAGCTGTGTTAAATGTGATTGAAATCTTGGTTTAGCGTTTTCTCTGTTTGGTTATGGAGGTGTTTGGCCTAATAGATTGCTGTCAACTTGACCTCTCCAGGCTCTGAGGAAGACGAAATCCGTCGAAACGTCAGCTTGTACGTGAATAAAGAAGTAACGCAACACCTCGTCTTTGCTGAACAGAAGAGGAAACAATTATTCTGTTTTCGATTAGTTCGTGAATGCTTGTATATTGTCAATATACCACACAAAATTGTGCAATCCACCCTAACAACAAAGGCGGTGGTTGCATTAAGTCGGGTACAATTTGCATAATCTCTTATAAGATATGATGTACCTAACCTCTTATACAGCCAGCAGGAACGAATGCGTTGAAGAAACGTGCAGACTACTCTGTGTCCGTATAAAAGTAATACCCAGATGGTAAACTTTGAGTTAAAGAAAATACTTCGTTAGATCCGCATATAACACGAAGATATAACGGAGGCAATTTTGAAGTGAACGTCACTATTCTCGCATAGTAATCTAAAGCATCAAGGCTTAAACTCTGAAATTGTTTCCCACAAATTCCAAAAACACAAAGATGAACCTATTACCGAAGGCCGCTAACGTTGCCGCATTCCACGAACTTATTTTTGACCACAGTCAAGGGCATTCCTCACGTATGTAAACTGTGCGCTGATCTCTCTAAATAAGCCGAAGACTCGTAAAAAACGGTGTGTCTTATGAACTTGCTTTTTATCCAACCGAAATGTAGATTTCGAATCCTTCTGTGAAGCACACTGTTCGCCTAAGTAGACTGTGTATCAATTCAGCCTTTCCAGGCTCTGAAGTAGTTGCAAAATTCCGGACCGCAGGTGTCTGCGGTGGGGATCGAACTCGCTATTACCATTTCTGGAGGTAACATCATACCATGCCATTAAAAAGGACTGGCAAAAAGTAAAAAGTGATTAAATTTAAGGCTTAATATTTCCAATGAGGGTAGAGAACTGGTCTATCGGATAAGACTAGTACTAATATCTCTTCTGGCGCTGAAGAAGGCGATGCCTTCGAAACACTAAGACCTGACAAACAGAACCTATTAATCATACTGTATTGGCTCAACAGGAACAGTTAGTATGTTCAATGACTTAAAACAAAGAAAAATAAAGAAAAAATGAAGAAGAATGAAATGATAGTGGCAGTGTTATAGCCCGTTCGAATTCACTTATAAGAGCATAAAACTTTCGGCGTTGACCAATCCGAGGGATGAACCATACATTCGATTTCATTAATAAGCATTGCTGGAAGTGATTGAATGCATATCTGGTCTTTACAATACTCGCGGTCACCTACAGATGTATCGAGTCAGTGCTGATGTCCTCCCAAAAAAAGGTCCGGTACCAATTTGTCGACCTTGGAGGGATGGAAGGCATGGTGAACCAGGGAAGCCGGATCGAACCGATGTGTATTGCAGGGCGCCTCTAACCACTGCACTATGCACACCCTTTTCTTCTAATTCACCTATAATCGATATACACCCTTGATATATAATTTAAACAAACACCAAGAAATTAACAAGTAAGGAAAACTTAGCGATATTTATTCAAGAAAAATGGTCAAACGATAGTCATGTGACTGGTGAAAATTAAGCCTATTTAACCGTAAAGGAGAAAAGTGATGCGACTTAAGGCCTTGAAAACTTAGCGATCCTATAACATGGCAGAAGTAAGTAAGCTGAAAGATGCTTCTTAAAATGCACTCCTAAGTATAAACAAATCAGATCTGTGTTGTAAAAATGCGCTACATAAAACAATACGATAAGAGAACAAACCAACACCACAGTTTCATGTTTACAGACTAAAATACAACAAGTTTACCATAAAAACAATGAATGACGTCATCAACTTGTTGGGACAATGTAACTCTACCCAATTGTTTATAAAAAAAGGTTTTCAAAGATTGAGTGCCATTTACAGTTCTCACTCGCATGCACGATAAAAGCTAGTTGTCCAGTTGAGTAAGGTCCTCCATCTAACTGGTATAGAAAATGCAATTTTTCACAAAAAAGAGATCTGCTTTTTCGTAGACAGCCTTTGCTGTGGTTGCTAAACAAAAATTTGTAAGCAAAGCCTCAAAATGTTCACAGAAGAGCACGAATACTAAGCTATAATAGTTATACGAAGCTATTCATACTCAAGAGACTCTTAAGCATCGTCAATATTATTCTTCCTTAATCTAGTCTTCGAAAAATCCAGATGTCTTAAGCCAAACAATGCATCTAGTTCTTTAAAAAAGTGTCTATAATTTCATACAAACGACAACAAAGAACTTCTAACACAACCAGAAGATTTTAGTTCTTTTTTTTAGTTTAGTTTAGAAGAGATCTTTCTTCTTGGAGAGGGACACAAATAGGACAGAAAAAGACGAAAAACTGACGCAACAGCGGTTTATGGCATTAACGTTACGAGATGGAAATGCTACAACACGTTTCATGACACTGGCCACGATGGAAGCCACGTTTCTTGCACTTCATTCTTTCTTGGTAATGGTAATCTTAACTAAGATATCGTTACGCAACAAATTCGGTACAAAGCAACATACCCGTTAATGTCTGAGAAGCATTCCACCGAATTACGCTTTGGGCTTATCAAGAACAATGGTTCCCATATCGTGAGTTTTAGGCACAAATACTCGAAATTCGGGAAGACTAATCACCTCGCCTTCATCGCTGTTGCAGTAATGACGGATCTGAAATTCCACACGAGTTAAAGATAAGAACGTGACAGCATGAAATCAGACGAACAGCCATAAGACCTAGAAATCTTATTTGGAAGCGATATTTAGAAACAATCCTACACCTCGTATAGAATATTCTCTATTCCTACTTATACACTGCCAATGTCAACAACCTCCCTATAACAAACATGTAATTAAAACACCATCATTCAGTTCTACCTCTTCGTCTCATCTACTCTCACCAGAATAAGCAAAAAGAAAAATACGCATGCTTGACGACAGTAAAATATTTATTCTCACGAATTTTTACCGAAGAAGACGATACATGTGGTACATCAGCTAATTAAATAAATTCAAGGATAAATGAACTTAGGTCAATGACGCAACTCCACGGCTCAACACGAACCACCATCTCCGTCCAACTATCCTCAAATCAGGAAACCTACCAAAGAAGTGAGTTCACATTAAATTCAAAAGTACAAATTCAATACACGATGAGAACAGCGCTCGTTACTGACCAACGCCTTTTAACAAAAATATGCTATCGTCTTGTGGCCCAACTGCAAGACCAGGAAAACATATTAAAAAGAAAGCATAAAGTTCTTGGTGTTGATAAATCCTTGAGAGATGCTCCATGCATTCGACTTCAACAAGCATCGTTAAAGGTGACTGAATGCATATCTGACATATAGAATGACTCGCGGTGACCCACCGATGTATCGAATCAGTACTGCTAACCACCTAGTGGTACCAAACTGTTGATCCCAGAGAGATGGAAGGCTTGGTGGGCCATGGACGTGGGGATCGATTCCATGTGTGTTGTAGGGTTCCTGCAACCACTGCGCCAAACGTGCCCCAAAAACCGAGTTATCTCGCTATAAATTTGAAAAAGTTCGTTATTTTCGCAGCGCATGAGTAGAAATCAAACAAGGTAGGAACCTAACTGGTAGAACTAAATTCTGACCAGCATTTGGTTTTTATTTCATTCCCAGTGTCTAAAGTACAGATATATACTCCACAAACGTTGCAAAACCTACTCACCAAATACTGAAAACAATAAAACTGAATGGACTGATGAGTTCATTTTTCAAGACAGAGTTCGAAGAAGGGATGAGAGAGAGGGATAAAACAGAAAACCTCCAAATGACGTCTAAAAAATGACAGGAAACTGAATAACAGAAAAAGTACAGTAAAAGGGAGTGATCATCAGTATTACATGCAAGCCACTAAGCACGGCCTTCATAACCATCAGCCAACAGGCATGCTACCGAGTGCGGCTCAGTGATTGGGGTGTAGACCCTGAAATCCGAGCCATGACCCTGCAACCCACATTACATGCTTAAGCGTAGCTACGCCGACTAGCACGATCATTTGACTTCTGACGACGCCTGCACATCGCTGGTGCCATTCCATCATCATTAACCTACCGCTTATCTTTCTTCCTTCACAAAGTTATTTGCTCAGGTCGTAATGATGTTAACTAAAATCTTAAGCATTATCAATACATTATAGTCGTCACTGATCCTCATGTAATCATTACTTGTTGTTAATCTAACAATTTTCTTAAATACTTGCAGTGTGAGCACATAAATCTTAATCCATTGTAGCCATAGCAATACTTTTACATAAACAGCATTTCCTAATTACTCATATCCTCATAAACCTGCTGCACGATGCTATACATTATTGTCAATGCAATTTGTTAGATATAAAAACTCATTGAACCACTCTACAACCCACTGAACAATCTCACTTGTAATTTACTGTACATAGTCTAGTACATTTCTAGTATCATTGTGTAATCGTGTAAATATTATGCACAAGAGTTTAATTTCCCAAGTTTGAGGTGCTCTAACCTGCAAAATTTTCATTTTATTGCTGAAACATTCCCGAAATCGTTACCACATCCTTGCATTTCGCTAAAACGCATTTCATTGCAGAGAGGATAATAAAAACAAACGATAAAGCTCTAAGCATCGATCAATCAATCCTTAAGGGAAGCGCCATGCATTCGACTTTACTAAATATCGTTGGAGATTGAATGTATATCTGGCCTTTCCAATGACTCGCGGTGGCCTACTGATGTATCCAGCCAATGCTGCTATCCTCCCAGACAAGTCTGGTACCAATCCGCCGACTCCGGAGGGATGGAGTGCTTGGTGGGCCGTGAACGCCGAGAACAATTCCACGTACGTGTCGCAGTGGCGCCACCGACCACGCCACACGTGCCCTCTTGTAGACAGGATAGGAGGAGAAATAGAAGTGGAATAAAAGCAGGAATAAGACAGAATGAATGGGAGATAAAAGCACATGAACTTACTCATTCTTATTTGAACCAGTGAAAACAGTACACAATGGAACAGTCCTAGGCTTGTCATCGAAATGGTGCATTATTATTTTGTAAAACTGGTATTTCGAAACTATCAACTTCGGAAAAAAAACTCTGTGTTAGAACCCGATTCTTCAAAGGAAATTATCTAAAGTACTTGATTTAAGGTGATTGTTTGTAGATTTGCTTTAAACTAAACCCAAGACTGCTGTTTGGGTTTACAAACGCCCATGTGTATAACATGAAAACTAAGCATTCCTATTCTTCCATTTTATGTCCAACTTGATTTATTCTACTCCGCTTCAGTTGAATGAAATGAAGGGTTAAAAACAAAAAAAAAATAGAACTGGAATTAACGAAGACCACATAAAAGCTAGTTGAATACCTCTACATACGGCTCCGGCTTATTCGACAGACCAGGAATCCAGTCGAAATCGTCACCACATCCATCCAGTTGAAACCGTCCATCATCTGCTGAGAACGTTACACTAAATGTAAAGCTTTAATTAACTTAATTAATCTGTTTTCCACTCAGTCAATCGCTTGCCGTCAAATTGGGACTTGATGATATTCTTAAGTGAGTATGCGTCAGAGCGAGAATTTATCTCATTAGCAGTTTCATTAAAGCTGAGGGGTTTGAGCTCCCAATTTTTGTTCCCAAATCCCATCTAAGAGTAGATCTCGTCACGGCAGTAGTTGGTGGGAAACTCCAGGCTCTCCTGACCACACAAAGCGTGAAAAGGCACTACAACAAAAAGGGGTGTTCGAGGGACGAATAGGCTTTACAGCGTACGCGAAGTTACTCGATACTTAATGGAAATTTGTAGACAGTTCAAAGGTGATTCTAACCTTTGAACATGTAAAACCAGTAACATCTGTAGTTTTTTTAACATTTTGGCAGCAACACTAAATTTCCAATGGCGGTCCCGTCGCCTTTTCGTCCAATTTTACTTTATGTCCTGTATACAACGAACTCGGCTCATAAGGGATAAAAGACAAAGCCCTTGGCGTCGAAGCTTTCCTAAGGGGCGAGTCATGCATTCGACTTCATCAAAACATCATTAGAGGTAAGTGAATGCATATCTGGCCTATGTAATGAGTAACGGTGGCCTACTGAAGTATCAAACCAGTGCTCAACAAGCGGGAATATGTGAAGAAAACTATGACAACACAAACGAGTCTGTTAATTCAAAATGGTTAACAAGAGAAAAACCAATATGTAATCGCTAGATGTGTTAACTCTTAAAAAAACGTGGATCTTCCACTGAAAAAAGAGCTTCCCTTGCTGATAGGCCCACGATCGTCTTTTTATATTATGTTCAGTTTCTACAATGAAGTCACTGTTGTGAAATACCACTGAATACTGGCAAAGTGTAGCAGTACTTCATCTACAGTTAAGTGAATCGATGCTACTCACCCCATGAGATCGTCCGGATCGATGAGCTTAAGCGGTCCGGGAGCGTCACGATCCCACACGCGAATCTTCAAACACATTTCAGGAGTTTTATGAATTAACATCCAAGTAAACACGATAGACAACATCTTTTTCGACTGTTCAGCTTATTCTTAACAATCTTTGATTGCATGAATAAACTACCACTAATCCTTCTAAGTCACATAGAAACAGTTCTCGAGGATTCTCACGAAAACCTTGCCACCTTCAAAAGAAGTTACTCTGCTAATGGGGAAACAGTATGATCAACATTAATTAGATTGCAATGTACGTCGCTATAAAAAAAGATAAAGCTCTCGATGTTGATCAATCCCAGAGGGATGCGCCATGCATTTGACTTCAGTAAGCATCAATGTAGGTGATTAAATGCATATTTGGATTATACAATGACTTGTGGTGTCCTATCGATGAACCGAATCAGTGCTGCTATCCTCTCAGACAAGTTTGGTATCGATTTGCCAACCCCGAAGGGATGGAAGCCTTGGTGGGTCTGAGGCATGGAGATCGATCCCATGTGTATTGCAGGGCGTCTCTGACCACTGCGCCAGACCCCTCCTGTACTTGAGTAGGGGATGGTATCAGGTCATGCCCATACTTAATCAGCAGTCTAGGCACTAAGAACTTCTCATGGATTATTCGAGATCACAAGTCTGTCTGTTATTGAGCGTGGAAATCGAAGTATCTATGGAAGATTGACGATCAAACAGGATTAAGAAAAAACAGCTCTTAGTAGCGGAACCAACCTCAACGTTCAGATTTTTTGTGGGATCGCGTTCGCACTGGACACGTCCTAGTATCCAAACGCACTCTTTGCCTGCGAACGAAAGTGGAATCAGAAGAATACAAAACAGAAGAAAGACCATCTGAAACGTGGTGCTGTAAGCTATTATTGATAAAAACAGTATAAATAGCGCACTTCACATACACAAAGTACAGAGACCGTGAGATCCACTAAGTAGAGGACTATGTCGGGATGAAAGGCTTAGTGAACCTTGAGCACGGGGATCGATCCCATGTATGCCGCAGGAGACCTCCAACCACTGAGCTACACACACCAACAAAGTCGACGAGGATAGGATCCGAAAATAAAGAAGATGTCCCAGTAATCCGTCAACCGCAACAGTGCTACAATTCTCATCTGAAGGTAAGCCGGAATGAATTTTTTCATCTCCTCAACAGTTTCCGGTCCACACGACTCATCTTCCTCATATCGATTGCTGCTATTTACTGTTAGAAAAAGTTCACAAACAGCAATCACATATGAAAATTTTTTGGTTTTGTTCATCCAATCGGGAAGATCTGGGCCATTCCAGATCGATTACCATTAAAAATTTCGGCGGTCATGCGACGTCAGGGTGTCTGACTATTCACCGCAATCATCATCACCTACGTCGTCTACTTACTACTTCGCATTTATCGTCTTTACCTTGATAGCCCGAAACATTGCAGATTCTTTACGACTGGTAGCTCATGGAGATGATTCAAGCTTATATAATTCAAGCCCCAACCAACAGCTGACGATTATTTCATTCTGTATCGCAATAGTGATGCAAAGTTATCGTATAGATTTGGGGGATATCTAAAGAATAGCACCGACACATACTTAAACACTATATAAAACCTTAGCAAAAGTTCACAGCAATGTAGTTTTAAAGGTTTTTTTGTGAGAGGTGTGAAATTTCTGAAAGCATGGGGTAATACAGGAAAGATCACAAGTGATACAAAGCGCGTGTAGCGCACTAGTTAAAGGCACCTCCAATACAGATGGGTTCGATCTATCGATTCAGGTCCACCAAGCCTTCCATCTCCCGAATTCTGCAACTTCGTACCAGACTTGTCTCAGAGGAGAGCAGCACTGGCTCGATACATCGGTAGGCCACCGCGAAGCATTTAATAGGCTAGATATGCATTCAGTAACCTCCAAACGACGCTTAATGAAGTCGAATGCATCCCTCAGGGATTGATCAACGCCATATGCTTAGTTCTTTTTATTTTATCACAAAGATACGTAGAATATCAAAAGCACAGAAATCACCGGGAAGGAACACAGAAAAACTGTATTGAGTGAGAAAGTAGGACAATTTCCTGGGCGTGGGCATTGGTCAGGATGAGTCACAGATGAATCATTGTACGAATGGCGGAAAATTAAGCGTTGTCCTATGCATCAGTCACAGAAAATAAGGACTCGTCATCGTAGTTTGTTACAATGGCTGAATTAGTTCAAAAATAATTAGTTTATAGAAAACGAAAAGATGGAAGGTGGATCAGAAGGGAAGTAGGACTGATATTCATACATGGCCATATTCAACAATGATAGGTAACAACACCGCACATTGGTTTGCAGCGTTCTTGTGGTTGTCGAATGTTTTGCCAGTGATAACGGACATAACTGACTAAAGAATCTGGAGAAAGAAATCATGATCGCATGTAAGCCAAGAAATAATGTATTAGCACACCGTGCTGATCTTAGCAACCCTAGTGTTAAATTCTGACCACTAGAGTGAACTAGTAGCTCGAAGCTTTGCAGACCTATGTACGAAAATTTATTCTATCGCGCCATGAAAATACAAATGGGAACAGTGCAGAGCACCGAAGACTTATTGGCTCCTCTTCGAAAATGGCAATAAAGTAGTCGAAGATGTAAAGAACAATGTGGGTGTTCCTGTGCTACTTCTTGAATAGCTCGAAGGAAGTGAAATGAACTAACAAGACAAAGATGTTTGTGATGCAGGCAGTAGTGATTGGTCTAACAATGTATTGCCTTACTACTTACTTTGAGATATGAATTATTAAAAGGTTACACTTGAGGAAGTGCTGGTGTTCGAGTCACTTTCATGTGCGGCGTTCCTATTCCATTCCATATTATGAGAAATGATGGACTGAAAACCTATTAAATAACCTTCACCTTGCCGATAAAACCTGTGACCGACGACAAACAGTAGGAATAATAGGAATTCCAGCAAAATGTACAGACCTGGAAAGTATGTGTGCTTCGAAGAGGTCATCTAAAGTCAGAGTCGATTTCCACCAGTATATCCTACTTGAGCATCACTACTACTTGGATACTTGGATATTTGGGCAGCCAGTCCTCACTAGGTGTCCGCACGCCAGCATAATCTCCATTTTTCGGAGTTTTGCTGGTTTAGCTATTGTGTTTCCCTGGAGTCCCGAGGTCAGTCTAACAAAAGTCTGCCCCAGACCGTCCCCACCACAGATAATCGCAGCCCTTGTGGAACAGAAGGAGATTTGCACCATGCGACTTTGATACGGACGGTGGTGGATCCTGGTATTGGTATTGGTGTACTCTTAGTTAGGCTTCCTGATGGAAACGCCAGACTCTTTCTCAGTTTCAGACGCCCTGCTGAAGGGATGCCCACCCGTATATCGCAGTCCGACACCCAGGAACACCATCAACCACGATGAGGCAGTAAATCGTTAGGAGGAACTTGTTATCTTCTGTGAGAAAAACGGAAAGTACCTTCTCAGTTATTTCATCCAGTTGAAGTTCCAGTGGACAGCACGGGAAAAAGGGCGGCATAACACCACGGAAAAGGAAAATAAAAAAGACATTATTACGACGTTTAAAAAATCTATAACTTAAAATCGGTATCAGTTAATCGAGAACATGGAGACAATAAGTATGATAGAATCAGAAAGAGGAACGGGCGTGTACAATCGACCCCAATCACCGCGGCTTTGAAAAAGTTGAATCGTCAGCTGAGTAAAAAATTTGCACCAACCTCGTGTAAGCTGAAAAATCTAAGAAAATGTCTCGACGTACAGAAAGCTACAACGCGATCTCAAGTGCAAATACGCTGCAAGGCATGCTATGTTGATTAGAACTATATTTAATCGCTGTCGGAAAGATTGTTTGGAATGTTTTCTATAGTGACCGTACAAAATGCAGCCGTTTGAAACAGGTTTCAGTAAAGCACAGAACAGTACAGTATAGTACAGTACGGCGCAGCACAGAACGGTACAGTACAGTACAGCACAGTACAGTAAAGCACAGCACAGTACAATACAGTAACAGTACAACCTTCAAACCAAAACGCAGGAAATGTTGTCGGCATATAATTATCGTAACTTTAGGCAATGAGTGTCTCTTCTGTGTAAGGTATGCATATTTTAGACTTTTAAATGAATATTGAAATGAAATTGAAATTAAATGACTAAGTCTTCCGTCCCTCCAGGGTCGGCAAATTGGTACCAGACTTGTCTAGGAGGATAGTAGCATTGGCTTGATACATCGGTAGGTTACTGCGAGTCACTGTGAACGCCAGATATGCACTCAATCACCTCAAAACGATGCTTCATGAAGATGAATGCATGGCGCATCCCTCAGGGATTGATCAATGCCGACAGCTTTATCCTTTTACCTTTTTAAATGAATATTTTTGAGGATAAGCCCAGTCTAAACATCGCTAAAATGTTGTTTTAATAAAACAGAGAACTGTAAAAATAAAAGTTGTTGAAACACATTTATGACCGCATACTCTCTGAACACCGAGCCACCCTGAAGAAATCTCCTCAAGGATTTACCATCTTTTAATATCGAAACCATGTTCTTAAGTATCCAACTTCAGTGTTCATGCATAGACTTCTCCATACTCTCCTCATCAAGTATTTCCATGAAATGAACTCGTTCGCATAAGTTTTTTGTAATTCATAAAGTATACATAACAGTTCCCAGGATCGACTTTCTCTTAACCTCGGCATTGGAATATGAATGTGTCGTTTTCTTGTTCAGCAATCGCGAGGTTTTTAAACAGCATACATTTACTTCCATAAAAACACAATACAATACAACGCTAGCTGACGTTTCGGCAGTATCGCCTTCTTCAGAGCCTGGAAGGGTGTACTGATATGCAATCTACTAGGCCAAACGCTTCAATAACACTTACAAAAAGACGAAAAACTCCTTGGTAATTACATGATCAACAGCTTCTCGAAAAACTCACCGCTTTTTACGTTACTTCCAATGAGGAAGGTTAGAACAGGAGATGGACAAATGCTTTGAATTATTGGACGAGCAGTCTGAGCACACAAAGTTCACCCGGGAAAACCCGGGAAAAAACCGAAAGCCAAGTAACACGAACACCCTCGTTCATTGCCATTCATACCACTTTGTCAAGTAACCGCTACTTGATAGGTTTATTTAAAGGTTTAAAAACGGAAGCCAGTTTTTTCTCGGTTTCTCCCGGGTGAACTTTATGTACTCGGACTGCTCGTTCAATAATTCAACTTGGCCAAAAGAAAGTCCCGTTTATGTTGCCTTTCGTTAGCGATGAAGTAAGCGTAGCTATAAAACGATGCTTAAGAAGGGCAGGTCTAGAGGAATCAGTAGCGATAGTTGAAATACCACCGGCTACTCTCCGTCGTTAGTAAGTTCGTAACCGCCTGTATGACCGTCTATGTGAAACAACAAGTTGCGTAATTTGCCCTTATGGCAGGGACGGTGATTGCATGAGTTCAGGTACGATATACCTGATCTCTTGTAATAATTGCAGAGATGAATATATTGGCGAAACGAGCAGACCTTTGTGTATCCGTATAAAAGCACACCTAGATGGCAAACGAAAACTAAGACGAAGCACCCCACTAGGCACGCATAGGATACAAAAGCATAGCGGAGACGATTTTGAAGTAAAAGTCAATATCCTTGCACAGGAGACAAAAACACCAGCGCGAAAACTTCTTCAGGATTTTTGGACAAATGCCAAAAATCCTACAATGAATAGCAGGGAGGAATGCCGAGAGGTCACACGCGACCTGACCCCGTATCTTCGGATCAATTTGTGATGTGGGATGGTGCAGTCATCAACCATATGCGACTATAATCAGCTGTTCTAACCTTCCTCAT